TGCAGAAGACATGGACGGAGATGCCACAGGGCAGCAGGGTTCGGCTCCGGGCTGCAGGGGTGGAGGGGGGAGGGGAGGCCCGCCTCCTGCCTTGTACAGATCCAAATGTCGCAAGGAGCACATCATGCTTCTGTAATGATGAAAACCATACAGCTTTCTTCAAGAACCTAGTGCTCCCCCGCAGAGCATCTGAAGGCACCTAGAAGTTTCCATATGCCACATCTGGACGTCAGATGTTCACACCAGCACATGGGAGGAGGGTTCAGCCCTCCGTGCCCTCTGCACCCACCTTGCTGGGGCTCTGGGCACCTCCTACCCCTGACTTTCGGGGCGGCTCTGGGAGGGGGGACGGTGACTTGGGGGGCTACAGAGACACAAGATGTGGGGAGTGGGCCAGGCCTGGAAGTGGAAGGCAGGGAGGAACGGAGGATGAGGCCCGAAAAAGCAAGGGAGTTGCACAAGTGCAGCCCCGAGTTGGCATCCCCTGACCACTCTCAAAGATGCTACGGGTTAGAGTCTGCATCTCTGCTCTGGTCACACCTGCTGGGTCAGGAAGTCCCCAGGATCATGGAGCAACGTTTACCCCACTGTGAGGGCCGTGAAGAGTGGTCCTCTCCCCCTTTCACAGGTTTCATTTTTGAGAACCAATATGTATTAAAGCTTCTTTTACATCCCCAAGGGCTACAATTTCCAGACATGCCCTCTGCCCTCCACGGACTCACGGGCTCAGAAGACAAGTGGAACCTTCGTGCACAAAGAGTCCGGGAGCCCAGGCATCCTCAGAGTGGGGCCAGGTGCAACCCTGGCCCCCCCTCTCCACCATCACCACCTCCCCTGGGGTGCAGGCTACCTTCACCTCCCACTGGGCACAGCAAGGATCTCCCCCCACCCACTCAGGCTCCCTCGGCCTGTTCACCCCTCTGAAGCCAGAGCTACCTCTCTACACGCAGGTATGGCCTGGTCCCTACACAGCATGAAACCTTCCAGGGCTCCCCATGCCCTCAGGACAGAATCTGCCCTGTGTCTGGTTTCCACCGTCTCTGCTCCCTGTGTCGACTCTCTCACCTAACCCCCCTCACACACACACGCATGCACTCATGCCTACACACATCCACAAACACACATGCACATAGACACACACAATATACACTCGTGCACGTATGCCCACAGTCATGAACACATGCACACACACACCCACAAACGTGCACACATGCACACTCACAGATACCTGTACACATGCACTTGTGCGTATATGTACACACACAGAAGTCACGTCTGTGCACGCATGCATTCACCCACACATGTGCGTGCTCAACCACACATGCACACTCAGTCACACACACATGCACTGTGTGCACACATCCAGACACATACACTCGTGCATACACACTCACAAACACACATACACACACTCACACTCCAGCTGTGGACAGCCCTGTGCCCTCCTCTTTCCCCCACTCCTTTCGCTGCCCCTCCCCCATCTGGCTCAGTTTCCCCACTTAGGGCTCAGCTCGGGGTAGAGGCTGCCCTCGCTCCCATCCTGTACCTGTGTTACCTCTCCTCCCGACCCATGGCTAGCCCCACTTCCTGTCCCCTCAGGTCAGGCTGCACCATGTGACCCGGCATGGCCAGTGGGCGGAGTCTCTCATGATTCCTTCCCTGCACAGACCAGCACGCACTGGGGCATGGGGAACGGGAATGCCCAAGGTCAAAACTGCCTGGCCTCTTCCCGAAGGACCACAGACACGTGGACCCACAGCAGACAGTGCGTGGCCAAGAGGTGGAGCCTTGTCATTCTGAGGGACACGGTTTGGGGGTATTTGTTACCGCAGTATAACTGTAGTTCACACTGACCATCACAGACGTCAAGCCAGGCTCCCCTCTAGAATTCCCCGCTCACCAAGCCCTCCTCTCTCACCACAGTAGGAGGCCGCTGCCCTTGCTCTGGTGCCCACAGCCCCCCAGCTCTCCCCAGGTCACCCTCCGCACACTGTATTGGCACCGCCTGGACATGGCTCTGCACCCCACAGCCACAGCTCTAAGAATTCTAGATCCTACTGGAGGAGGCCCAGCACAGAGCAGGGGCTCAGTATGTGATTGATGAGCTAATGACGGATTGGAAATGAGCTGGGCTTTACCAGCACACGTTCCAGGTGGGGGGTTGGGGGGGAGGGGAGCTGCACAGACCTTGGCCCAGAAGCAGAAACAGCCCCAAGGAGGGGCGGTGCTGGAAGACAGTGCAGAGGGCTGGCTTGCGGGGCAGCAGCAGGGTAGCCTGGGGGGTTCGGAGCAAATTGCCTCCATAAGTGTTACCTAGCACTCATGGGGTGGGACTCAGCACCTGCCCCTTCACCAGGGGAATCCGGCACCTGGTCCTCAGCCTGCAAGTTCAAGACCCCATGAATCACACAGGCAGGACCAGCAGACACAGGGTGGGCTCAGCCCCTGGGGCCGCCCGCAGTCCTGCCCTCTCAGGCCTGGACACTCCCCAGGTGACACTCCCAGGGCCCTGCGCATCCTTCAGTGGGACAGGTGGTCCGAAACCTCTCCTTACAAGCAACGACCCCTGGTGGGGCCGCGCTGTTCTTTGCTTCTCACTCGGCTTCTTTGTGAGTCGAAATGTATTTTTTTCCTGTTCCTAATTAACTCCCTGCCACCCTGCTTGCAGTAAAGCCTGATTTATTCCTGCCTTTCTGCATGCAGGGGACGGGCTATTTAATCTCTGCTGCGTGGACTCCAGCACACCGTCTCAATGAAATGCGCATCCCTCATCCTGTTAGTGTCCCGCCAGCCTGCTTGTATCTCCCCGCCGCCCGTGAGCCCCGCCAGCCCGGGCCGCTGCCGCTGTAAATCACAGCCTCTCTTCTGTAATAACACCCTCTGCCCTTTGGCCTCACCTGTCAGCACGGCTTGGATTCTGCCAAACGGCAGTCAGTTTTTGGCTCCCATTGGTAAAGCCGGCAGGCCTGTACTTGGACCCGGGTGTTCCCCAGCCCAGCCCCCCAGGGAGGTGCTCTCCGTGCTCCCCCAAGCCCAGAACTACTTTCGGTAGTTCCCACGCATGCCTCCCTGAGCATCCTCGGGGCAGACCAAGGTGCCAGGAGTTAGCGTGCCCCAGCAGTGAGGGGTAGGAGCGGTGTGGTGCGCTCGAGAACGGAAGGGCAAGAGGGCCCTGATGGTAACCGCCACCAGCTCTGGGGTATAGATACTCCTCCACGGCCAACGTCAAAGCTTGCGGTGCACTGCTGCAGAGTGCAAAGTCAGGGAAAGGTGTGCACACTGGGTCTTCCACACCGGTCCGTCCCGGCTCCCATACCCCCCGGATGGGAGGGACCGGGTTCCCAGCCCAGCCCAGCCCCTCACCCACAGCGGCTAGTCCCAAGGTGCGTTTCTCACAGGCACAAGCAGGAAGGGCGCCAGGGACGCAGGCTAAGAGGGTGCTGAAGTGCAAGTAAGAGCCCTACAGGCTGAGGAGGAGAGGACCAGAGGCACCTTGTGGGTGGAGCAGGGAACACCGTGGGCAAGTGTCATGGTGGCTTGTTTGTCTGTGTTCGAAACCGTATGCAGGCAGGAAGGTCACGACCAAAGCCACACCATGGGTCCCCAGGCTGCAACCATAGTTGAACAAACACCCTCCTCTGACTGCAGACGAATGGATGCTCGTCTCGTGTTAACACCAAGGCCCAACTCCCAAGGCGGGTTTCTGTGCACCTCAAAGTCAGTCTTTGTTGTTCCCAAAACAATCTGTAGTGGCGCCCTCAGTGCTGGGGTCAGAGCCCTGAGGCCAGGGGCCAGGCCATCCTGGGAAGCTGGGGGAAGCGACAGCTGACCGGCCCAGAGGGGTGAGCCAGAGGAGAACGTGTGTTGAGAGAAGGAGAGAACATTCTAGACCGGGTCTGTCCATTAGGGTAGCCACCGGGCACACGTGGCTATTGAGCATTTGACATCTGGGCCGTGAGACCAAGGAACTGAATTTTTTACTTTATTTTAAAAGTAACTTTATTTTAAAAGAAAACTGACACTGAATTCAATTATCAGGCAACATTTATTTAACTTTTTTTTTGGTTTATTTATTTATCTTGAGAGAGACAGAGACAGCGTGAGTGGGAAAGGGGCAGAGAGAGAGGGAGACAGGAATCCCAAGCAAGCTCTGTGCCATCAGCACAGAGCCTGACGTGGGGCTCGATCTCACAAACTGCGAGATCATGACCAGCGCCAAAAACCGAGAGTGGTACACTTAGCCGACTGAGCCACCCAGGCGCCCCACCCAGCAACTTTTAGGTACGTTGCTACACCTAGTGTGCGCGAATCCACTTTTCCAACTACAGGTTTTGTGAAATCTAAATACAGCTCAAGCATTTCTCCTTAAAATGTAGCATCAAGGTTGAGATGTGCGATGCATGTAAAACACATACCGGACTTTGGAGCCCTGACACACGTCACCAGTACCTGGTATATTGGCCACACCAGGTGGCCAATATTTTGCGCATATTAAATAAAATATGTTCTTAAAACTTATTCCAGCATTTCTTTTTTCCTTTTTAATGAGGTTATTAGAAAGTTTCCGGGTAGCCACGTGGCTTGTGTTTGTGGCCTGCGTGGCATTTGTAAGGTGAGCGCCTGAGCTGTAACTGTGGCGGCAGATGCCGAGGGCGCCGTCCGCATCACTCACTGCCTGGCGCACAACCTGCCCCCGCGGGGGTGGGGGGGGTGGAGCACGTGGGGGACCACGCCCACCACGTGCAGATCTTAGCAACGACACCACACCCCTGCCACGTGGACCGGGATTGCGTGTTTCAGAGAGACCAGGCGGGGGTCCTGGGAGCCTTACCCCGCCTGGAACACGAGCACGCGTGCGCACGTGCTCCCTCTCGGCCCCTCGCCCCTCCCTGGTGAGTGGGCAGCCTTGCTCTCAGGGAGTGGAGCTTAGACTAGACGGCTGAATCTTGACCGTCACTTTAGGGACAAAATGTGGTTCTAAAAGCTTTGGGAAGAAAGGAAGGTCTGGAGAACGGATTCTCCCCGCTCCCAAACTACATGAAGCCCCTTCCCGCTGGGGAAGGAGAGAGGAGACACGGAGGGGCAGCAAGGGGGCTGGGGGGCCCGGGGCTCCGGGGAAGGCCCCGCAGCTGCCCCTCAGGCAGGAGAGTGTGGACTCCTGTGGACAGAGAGAACCCGGAAACTTGGTAAGTGGGCACGTCTGCTAACGAGAGCAGCTGACGGAGGGGCAGGGAGGACAGAGGTCGCGGAAGCGAGCAAGGGACGGTGAGCGAGCTACCAAGGAGGATGCTCTCTTGAGGCCTGGACACTTTGGGACACCTGGGGCGGGGGAATGGGAGGGATCGTGTCCCTCCAGGGGACTCTGGCACCCGTAACCCCTGCCAATGCCAGAAGTCTCTACGACCCCCCAGAACATAACTGGCACACTAGGCCAAAAGAGGGGCAAAGGGACACTCTAAACTCTGTGGTTAAATGACCAAGTTTATCTGGAGTTGGCCAAGCTGACATTTTCTGCCACGAGTCAGAAGAGGGGCTCAAAATAGCAATCGGGTTGAGTTCCAGAAAAACACTGTTCTGGTTTTGCTTCACCTGAGTCCGTGGAGTGAGAAATGCATCCCCCCACCCCCCGCCAGAGTCGTGTGACCACTTCCCTCCCAGGGTGGCCCGGAAGTTTCCAGAACTCAGCTGTGTGGCTGAAGGCAGGCGTGGCCAGCCCCCCCGCCCCCCCCCCCAGGCCTGGAAACACCCACCTTGAGCTGAGACCCTGGCAAAGGGAACAGGGAGAATATCCTTGGAGCCGTGCCAGGAGGCTGACCTTGCTGAGCACCCAGATAGGAGCCAGCAGCCTGGGAGGGGCGCGGTGGGCAGCTGATGAATGGCCTTGCTGTCCCAAGCGGACTAAACCGAGGCCGGTGGGCAGGGACAGTGGGCGGCGGTAGGGCTGCTGGCTGGCTGGGAGCGGCGGCCACAGACATCCCAGGTCTGGGCCCCAGCGACCCTTTTTCTCACCTACAGCTGCCCAGAGCTGGGGAGGGAGACAGGGACCCTGGGCCCGTGACGCTGGTCACCCCTGTCTGGCTCTGGAGAAGGGAATCCGGGCACTAATGAGAACAAATGGCAGCCCTGAGAACTCATTTGCGGCTCCCAGATGAGATCTCCCCTTCACCCACCCCTCCGCACCCGCAATCCCGCGGAACCGGCTCTGGGTTTCCTTGTGTGGCGTGAGCACCACCTGGTGGTTGTATGTGGGAATTTCTAGTCGTTTTCTCCAGGATTCCCAGGGACTTGGAAACCGGGGCGGCGGCACCTCCCACTCATGCATTTTAGTCCCCCAAACATGTATTGAGTGCCCAGAGCATGCCAACTGTTAGGGATTTAGACATGAACACAACTGTCACGTGCCTGGCTTCACGGAGTTTACACCCTAACCGGGGAAGCAGAGAACATGCATGTAAGTGAGAAGATAATTTCATAATCTGCTGCTGTGAGAATTCTCAGAGTTCAGGAACAGAGCCCAAAATGTTTCTCAGGGCCTTCAGCAGACCTCACCTTGACCTCGTGTCTCGGCACTCAGCTTGACATAGGCCCTGGGCCCCGACCTCATGGAGCTTCCTGCAAGCCCTTAACCATCGAGGGTTCTGAGCCTTTGTACATGCCATTCCCTCTGGCCGAGGTGTCCTTTCCACCTGGCAGAATCAGCCCCACCACCATCACGGCGGACCTTGTGTGGCCCCCTCCTCAAGGTTGGAGAGTAGAGTGACTATGAATCATGGTCATGGAGCTGGGAACTTGTGTCCAGCCCTGACTTTGTCACAGCAGGGTTTCGTGGCCGTGGGCGTGGCTCCTCTCCTTTCTTAGCCTCAGTTTCATCAGTGAAAAATGGGACGTAAAATAGCATGTACCTCCTAGTTGTGACAATTCAACACTTTAATGTCATTAAAGTGCTTAGCATGCCTCCTGGCACAGAGGGAACACAGTGTGTTAATCTGAGCCAGGGTTGCTACAGTATTATTGTGCCGAGGCCAGAGCGCACCTACTTGTTGTCTGGCTTCCCCAGCAAAGCTTGAATATCTCTGCCTCATCCTAGGAAGAGGACCTTTCCCTGCTGCCCCAGAACTGTGGTCCGAGGCTCCAAGCTAGAAGCGGAGGGATAGCCGCTGCCCCCAGCCTGCATCAAAAGGGGTAAGATGTCTTCTCAGAGCTGAAGAAGTGGCCAAAATGCTACCCCACCGTCTCCCATCCCTGCACCACCAGCTGTAAGCAGGAGATGGAGAGGAGGCAGTGAGGGGGAAGGGCAAGAAATCAGGACTCGGGACGGCGTTGGGAAGGGATGGTTAGTGTCAAGCTAAGAAAGAGACACTGGATTTTTTCCTTTCTCTTTCCTCCCCTCACTTCACGGCTCAGGCTAAGCAGAGAGGGAGGGAGAGGAAGGAGGGAGAGGCAGCTGGGTCCCCCTCCCTGCCTCCCTCCTGGGGCTCTCAGGCCAAGGCCAGGCTGCTCCCCAGGAGGGGACAAGATGAGCGTGAAATTGGATTTGAGATGGAAGTTTTAGATTCAACCAAACCGGCCTTTTTATTGCCCCAAAGTGCCCGGGAAATGACAGAATCTGTCCAAGCCCTAGCAACGGGACAGGAAGCGGAGAACGGAAAGAGCGAGGCTGAGGGAGTGAATCACTAGTGGGGAAAACCAAACCATTTCCTGTGCATTCCCGACACAGGCCAGAGCGACCATAAACAGCTACGTGTCTCCCCAGGGCCTGGAGGGCCCAACCCAGCGCCGCCAGGGGATGCCGTATTCTCTCCACCTGGGGGTTCCTGCTCCAGAAGTGCTCCCTGTGAGGAATTTAGCCCTGGATGCCCCCCACTCCTGCGCTCCCATCCCTACTCCCCCAACCCCTGTGCCCGTGCGGTCGGCAGATCTTGAAATCCCCAACACTCTTGAACAAGGGACCCCTCATTTTCATTTTGTCCTGGGCCCTGCAAATTACATAGTCCATCTCAAGACAGCTCCCAAAGTCACAGCTAGCAACTGGAACCCACTCCTCGGGCTCCAGGGGTCCTTGTGGACTGCTCCCCACAGACACCTTCTGGGGGGTTTCTGAGCCCAGGCAGTCCCCCTGACCTTCCCAGGAAGCAGGCTCTGAGCCCCCCACCCATTATGCCTCTGTGCACTGAGAGCCTTGGCCTGTGCAGACGACCAGAAGGGGGCCCCAGCGAGTAGGGGAAGGCCACCACAAGACACTGCTCTTGCCTATTTGTTGGGGGGGGGGCGGGGGGGGGACAGGAAAGGCAGTCCCACAGGGCACAGAAGTCTGCGGTAAGTTAGGCAGAATTTCCAGACGGCTCTAATGGGACGAGAAGGCCAAGGGTGACACCCCGCAACAGGAACAAAGTAAATTCCCATGTACCAGACTCAATTCCTTCCATCTGTTATTGCACTTAATCTTCACAACCAACCGTTCAGGCTTAAGTATTTTGTCTCAATTTTACAGAATAGTAAACTGAGGCACAGAGAGACATGTAACTGGTTCAAGAGTCAGCACAGCTAGCAAGCTTTGGGTACCCGGGGGAGTGTTTTCCATATGATACCTCTAAGCTTTGCAATAGCTCTACGGCAGTTGTCACTACTAGCCGAAGGTTTGGTGTCTTCACAGTACTTGGAAAGACTGGACTTCCTGGTCCCTTCGTTGAGGCTGACACAAGTAGCTGTGTATGAGATTGGGACTTTCCCAGAGAACTAGAACTAGGAGATCATGCACACACAACATTGTATATAGAGTATATATCACATGCAATAGTTGTGTATACAATGTAGTATAACTAGATCAAGAGGCTTATATTTATATACATGAAGAGATTTAATTTTTTAAGCTTATTTATTTATTTTGAGAGAGAGAGAGAAAGCAAGTTGGGGAAGGGCAGAGAGGAGGAGGAGGAGGGGAGAGAGAATTCCAGGCAGGCACTGTCAGCACAGAGACCAATGCGGGGCTTGAACTCATGAATTGTGAGATCATGTCATGACCTGAGATCATGTCAGTTGTGGGGCTGACAAATCAGAACTTCTTAGGCAGTCTGGCAGGCTGGAGACCCAGGCAGGATTCACTGAGACACTCGTGAGTCAGAATTCCTTCTCCTCTGGGAAGCCTCAGTTTTTGTTCTTTTTTTTCTTTTTAATGTTTTATTTCTTTCTGAGAGAGAGAGAGAGACAGCGTGAGCAGGAGAGGGTCAGAGAGAGAGGGAGATACAGGCTCTGAGCCCAGGCTCTGAGCTAGCCGTCAGCACCCCGACACGGGGCTCGAATCCACGAACCGTGTGATCATGCCCTGAGCTGAAGTCAGACACTTAACTGACTGAGCCACCCAGGTGCCCCGGGTAATCTTTACTTAAAGTCAACCGATTGTAGGTGTTAACCACATCGACAGAACACCTTCACAGCACCATCTGGATCCATGTTTGATTAAATCACTGAGTACAGATGGCCCTGCCAAACTGACACCTCAAACTACCCATTCCAATTTCTGGCTGATAAGCTGTGTACAGCATGATGTGTTACTTCCAGGCTGCGCATTTCACTGTCGGTGCAAAACCCTCCCGAGCCCCCTCTTTTCTTCTCTTTGGTGACCAGCAGTCTTCACACTGGTGCCCGCCGGCTCAGCCTGGGTCCTGGAGTGACTTGACATAAAGGAGATCTCTCCCACAGCCTTTGTGGACTTGATGTGGAAGCCAGAAATAAATAAACCCTGGGTTTAGGAGAATTTCTGAGGCTAAACTAAAGAAAGTGGGTCCTTCTGCTTCATTGTGTATTCGTACAGCCCCTATGAGGTGACTTGCTGTTTCCGGGGAGCCCCCAGGGGCACCCCCAGACCCTAGCCTGATCCTCAGAGGTGATGTGGAAGTCTCTGTGTGTGTTGCCACCAAGGATGAAACGATAACACACACCACCCTGGGATATTGAACCTGGATCAGCACCTGAGGCAGAAAGGCACGCCACTGTCCACACTGCTTACTTGGTTCTCAAAATTGCCGACTCTTATCTCCCATGCATGTTCTCCTTTTGACGTTTAAGGTCAAGTAAGTAGAACCTGGGTTCAAATAGGGAAATGCCTCAGCACATGAGGCCTGGGGCCCACGACTAACTCCTCCTTAAAAACGTATGACTCTGCTGGTACCTGGGTGGCTCAGTCGGTTAAGCATCCGACTTCAGCTCAGGGTGTGATCTCACGGTTGGTGAGTTTAAGCCCCACATCAGGCTCTGTGCTGACAGCTCAGAGCCTGGAGTCTGCTTTGGATTCTGCGTGTGTGTCTTCTCTCTCTCTACTTCTCTACTGTTTATATTCTGTCTCTCTCTTTCTCTCTCAAAAATAAATAAAAACATTAAAAAATAATAATAGTTAAAAAAAAAAACCATGCTGACTCTGGGTGAAATAATCAGCCAGCAAGACAACAACTATCTCTGCCCAACCATGGCAGGCAGCACCCTGAAAAGCCCTCTTGTCTGCTTCCAGGAGAAGTGACACAGCCTATCCTAAAGAAAGGGCCCTCTATGATGCCCTCAAGGTCCCTGGAGACTATGCCTGCCATTCACCCTCCCATCCATCTATCCATTCATCCACCCACCCACCCATCCATCCATCCATCCATCTACCCACCCACCCACCCATCCATCCATCCATCTACCCACCCACCCACCCATCCGTCCATCCATCGATCTACCCATCCATCCATCCACCCACCCATCTACCCACCATCCACCCATTCATCCTTCCTTCCTTCCACCCATCTACCCAACCAGCAGTGACTGAATTCCTACTCTGTACAGGTGCATGGCTCCAGCCCCAGGTAGACCGACACTGACTCATGGATGCAGTTGAAGAGACATTCAACAGATAATGACACGAGTACTTTTAGGTCTGCTAAGTGCTGGATGTGGAAGTGTGGGGCACTAGGAGAGTGATCATGGGAACGGGACCTAGTTTGGTGGGGGGTGCGGGGGAGTTTGGGGTCAGGAAAGGCTTCCCAAGGAGTAGTTTGAGCTTTGCCTGAAAGGGTGAGCACCTGGGAGAGAACTGGGGACAGGACAGTTTTGGGCCCTGAGGGAGTAACTGGAGGCAAGGCCCTGAGGCGGGAGCAGTCTTTCCCCAAAACACGAGCCAGAGCTGCTGAAGTCTCCAGAGTGGACGGGCTTGTGGGGGGCAGGAGGAGGAAGGAATGATGGCCCCATTCCTGGTCCCACGGACGGGGAGATGCATAATGCCATAAAGGGGGCACAGGTTGCCAAATGAGGCAGAAAGACAAGGATGAAATCCTGGTTTTGCCGCTTCCTCGGTGTGTGATTTCTGGTAAGAGAGTGTCAGCGTTGCTGCATAGACTATGAAGGTAATGACAGTAATAATAGTTAACCTTCACAGAGATCTTACTTTTTGAAGGTTTTTCTTCCTAGGGCTTTAATATCTCATCTAACCTTCAGTAATTTCAGCTTTGTTGTAGAACCCTGGTGCCATTACGGTTCCCACTTTACCGAGGAGGAAATGAGGGGCACGGTGAGATTGAGAACTTGGCCCAAGGCCACACAGCCAGGAGAGGATGGAGCTAGGATCAGATCGCAGACAGGTGGGCCCCAGAGCCGCACTCTGAATGGGACTGTATGGTGTAGCGGTAAGCGAACGTCAGGTCAGGGGGCAATAACACACAACCCCCTGACCTTGCGTACTTGATGCCATAACCAACAAGTTTAACAAGCTAGGCTGTTTGCTTAGAAGGTCTATTTTTAATTTCTAAAACTTTGGAGTTTTCAGAAGACATTCACATTAGTAATACCAAATTGAACTTGACACATCTAAAAAAAATAATATCAAATTTATTTTTTTTAATATTTTTATTTATTTCTAGGAGAGAGAGAGAGAGAGAGAGAGAGACAGCGTGAGCAGGGGAGGGTCAGAGAGAGAGGGAGACACAGACTCTGAAACAGGCTCCAGGCTCCGAGCTGGCAGTCAGCACAGAGCCCGACACAGGGCTCAAACCCACGAACCGCGAGATCACGACCTAAGTGAAAGTCGGACGCTTAACCGACTAAGCCACCCAGGCGCCCCAATAATATCAAATTTAATTGCCACATAGTCAGAGAATGAGGTCTGTAAGATACCAATCCTTGAAAATGTGTTGAAACTTGCCTTCTATTTTATGGTTAGTTTTGAAAATGTTCCTTGCATTTGAATTCTTTTTAATGTTTATTTTTGAGAGAGAGAGAGAGAAAGGGAGACAGAGTGTAAGCAGGGGAGGAGCAGAGAGAGAGAGAGAGACAGAGTCTGAAGCAGGCTCCAGTCTCCGAGCTGTCAGCATGGAGCCCAATGTGGGGCTCAAACTCACGAAACGTGAGATCGTGACCTGAGCTGAAGTCAGACACTTAACCGAATGAGCCACCCAGGCGCCCCAGAGAATGTTCCTTGCATTTGAACAGCATATGTATCCTGTCATTATTGGGCTCACCGTTAAACCCATCTGTAATAGGTCAAACTTGTTCACTGTTGCTGAAATTAAAAATAGACCTTCTAAGTAAACAGTTATTTATTGGCACATAACAAGTCACTCCAAATCTTAGTGGCTTAGCGCATGCCACGTGGTCGTGACTCTCTGCAACCTGGACTCTGAGGCAGCTCTGCCGGCCCTTCCCAAGGCCCAGGGCGGCCACAGAGCGGCCACAGGTCGTCTTGCAGGCGTGGCTCAGCTGGGATGCTGTGGCAGCCTTTTACAAGTAGTGCTGATGTCTTCACCTTTTCCCCCAGTCTCTCCAGCCCAGTAGCAGGCTTGTCAAGGCAGCACAGGGCTCTGAGTGCACTAGACCAGAAGCTATGGGGCTTCCTTAAGGCTCAACCCTGACACTGGCAGAATATCACCTCTGCCACATTCTGTTTATCAAAGCTCGCTCCACGCCCCTGCCAGGAGACGTGATTCTTTTAGGGGCTCCCACAACCATAGTTTTGATTTCTTGAACGGTTCAGTACTAGCAGAGG